GAGGGGAAGAAGCGATGGCCACACTGAGATCCCCTCCCCTCCATTCTCCTCTAGGGATTTTGGGCAGGTCCACACACATGCTAGTAGTGTTTTCTAAGCCACTGGGTCCAGGAATTGAACCATGTGGCCATCTGTGTATGATCCAGCTGCCCCACCACCATGCCATCTGGGTGGCCCTACTAGGAGCTTTCTTCCCCTCCTCCCTCACTAAAGACCTTTGTCATCAGACTACCGAGCCTCAGCCTCTTTCCTGTCCTGTTATTACAGTAACTTCCAAACTGACTTTTCCTGCTCCAGACGTCGCTCCTCCATAGATGAGACCCCCACAGTTTTAAGAACGACTCTTCTGTACTCAAGTACCCCTGTGAACTCTGCATGCACGTCTACCATCCAGCCTCGTGAAATGACTCCCAGCCTCTTCACCAGAGGGCTTGATCCAGCTCCCTGCCTCACCTTTGACCCTTTGATTGCCTCTTAGGAATCTTAACCTCCCCATGAAAATGGGGTTTTACTCAGTTCCACCTCGTGACCACTGCCCCCCTCCCATACTGACATACCAAATGCTCCAGCTCTCATCTCTCAACACATAATCTCCATGGAACCTTCCTAGAATGATCTTCTCCACCTTAAATGCTACATGAGCCCTCTTACCTCTGCGGTGATAGGAACTATCCCTTCTCTGTTCGTCTGTGTACTCCCCGCTGTGAAGTGCATTTGTATTCAGAAAGTGCTGCATAAATACTGGAATGAGCTCACCTCACTTCCGAATGCAAACACAAGAAAAGGCAGAACCAACCTCACGTTTACTAGCGCAATGCAGTCAAAAGCGTTTGGAAACTCCATCTGGAATGCCTTTGAGAGACTTGGTAATGTTTCTGCAACTTTCCAGCAGCCTGCCAGGGCCTCCGTAACCAAGGATGACCAAGCAATACCTGATGCCAAACATGTCTGCTTTTCAGTTTTCACACGGCATGGCACTGAGGAGCTTAATTAACTTGACGATAGAAAGAAAAAGAGCTTCACAGAAAGTAATTTCAGAATGTTCTTGTGCTTTTTGGGTCACTTCGACCCCCCCAGAGCTAAGACCAAGGAAATAACCACCGATGTGGCTTTCTCAGTACGGGAAACTTTGCAAGAGTACAAAGAGGCACTAGCATCACACTTTCGAGTATGTATGTATTATGTGTTCCTTCCGCTACTGGTTACTCATTTCAATTTCACTAAAAGAATCATTTCAAATAAAGCTCCTCTCCTGTATAATCGAAAGACTTGATGAATGTTGTCAAAACAAATGGACTTGGAATACAATTTCATGTCGATAAGCCATCTGTGTATGATCCAGCTGCCCCACCACCATGCCATCTGGGTGGCCCTACTAGGAGCTTTCTTCCCCTCCTCCCTCACTAAAGACCTTTGTCATCAGACTACCGAGCCTCAGCCTCTTTCCTGTCCTGTTATTACAGTAACTTCCAAACTGACTTTTCCTGCTCCAGACGTCGCTCCTCCATAGATGAGACCCCCACAGTTTTAAGAACGACTCTTCTGTACTCAAGTACCCCTGTGAACTCTGCATGCACGTCTACCATCCAGCCTCGTGAAATGACTCCCAGCCTCTTCACCAGAGGGCTTGATCCAGCTCCCTGCCTCACCTTTGACCCTTTGATTGCCTCTTAGGAATCTTAACCTCCCCATGAAAATGGGGTTTTACTCAGTTCCACCTCGTGACCACTGCCCCCCTCCCATACTGACATACCAAATGCTCCAGCTCTCATCTCTCAACACATAATCTCCATGGAACCTTCCTAGAATGATCTTCTCCACCTTAAATGCTACATGAGCCCTCTTACCTCTGCGGTGATAGGAACTATCCCTTCTCTGTTCGTCTGTGTACTCCCCGCTGTGAAGTGCATTTGTATTCAGAAAGTGCTGCATAAATACTGGAATGAGCTCACCTCACTTCCGAATGCAAACACAAGAAAAGGCAGAACCAACCTCACGTTTACTAGCGCAATGCAGTCAAAAGCGTTTGGAAACTCCATCTGGAATGCCTTTGAGAGACTTGGTAATGTTTCTGCAACTTTCCAGCAGCCTGCCAGGGCCTCCGTAACCAAGGATGACCAAGCAATACCTGATGCCAAACATGTCTGCTTTTCAGTTTTCACACGGCATGGCACTGAGGAGCTTAATTAACTTGACGATAGAAAGAAAAAGAGCTTCACAGAAAGTAATTTCAGAATGTTCTTGTGCTTTTTGGGTCACTTCGACCCCCCCAGAGCTAAGACCAAGGAAATAACCACCGATGTGGCTTTCTCAGTACGGGAAACTTTGCAAGAGTACAAAGAGGCACTAGCATCACACTTTCGAGTATGTATGTATTATGTGTTCCTTCCGCTACTGGTTACTCATTTCAATTTCACTAAAAGAATCATTTCAAATAAAGCTCCTCTCCTGTATAATCGAAAGACTTGATGAATGTTGTCAAAACAAATGGACTTGGAATACAATTTCATGTCGATAATTATGGCCTCCTGGCAGGGAGACTATTCTCATTCTTCTTGATGTGGAATCATGGGCAAGAATGCAGCCCTGACTTTTGAACTTGTTATTAAGGAAAAGTAGTTTATTTTATGACTCTCTATATTGGCATCACAATGTGGAAACACACAGAAGGAAAAGCCCTGGTGACGGCTTCTATATTTACACACCTTTTTTTGTACTTGAATCTAAAGTTGATCATTTTAGAAATTTCTTACTGAAATCTATCTTTAACTGTAAAAGCATCCAATGAGTTGTCTAATTTCTACATACATCAAAACTTGATATTCAGTCAGATGGACAGAGTAATTTTTCCCTTTTCCTGCT